GGACCTTGGTTTTATTTTGTTATGTTTTTTATATAACAATATATATTTTTGGTGATATTTGATATTATTATAAACTAAACAAATAGTTGTATTTACTAATAGTAAATAAATGTTAGATTTTTTTTTAAATAATAGATTAAATTCAATAAATGTATGAAAATACTCATAACTATAATATATATATTAATATAAATTTTTATTTATTATATATATATTTATATATATAATTAAAACTAATTGATAAATGTTTAATAAATTATATTAAATTTGATATAATAAATTATTTACTAAATGTATTAATATTATATGATATATATTTATCGATATAAATAAACAACGATACAAATTTTAAAAAATATTACTATTGTTATATCATTATAATTATTGTAAACTGAATTTTTATTTGAATAATTAAATAAAAATTAATTAAATATCATATTTTCAATCTAATAATATTGTTTATTATATATCAAAAAAAATGTTTTTAAATAAACAATTTTATAATATGTAATTGTAATATGTGTGATGTTTTATAAATTTTGTTAATAAGAAAGTTATTAAAATTATTAATTGATTGATCAAAATAAAAATTAATTGATTTTAAATTGTAGATCAAATTTATAACAATAACATAAACAATAAAATTTAATTAAATATATAAATTATTGTATATTTTGAAAATAATTTTTAAAACATTTGTTTTTTTTGAACATTAATTTATAAACAGTTATAACTCATTTGTAATTATTTGTAATTTAAACAGCAATATATTTGTTAATTATTTATTATATTTATTAATTATAATTATATTTTAGAGTATAAAATTATTATATATCAGTATTTATTTATATTTTTTAAAAAACAAAAGTTTCTTATATGAATTAAAAATTGAAACTATATATTTAACTATAAATATCATAAATAATAATATTAAAATTTTATTATCAAATGTAATTAATAAAAGTTGATTAAAATAAAGATAAAAAAAATTGTTTAGATTATGAATATTTTATTTAAATTTTTCAAAAATATTTCAAACAACTTGTATTTTATATTCAACTATATATATATATATACAATGTAAGTATCATTTAACATTTATTATAGTTATTTTTATAATTTATAATTCAAAAAATAAAATAAAAATATTTTCTAACATAATATAATTTATGATATATATATATATACAGTATTTCATAAATATGTTTCTTTATAAATAATTACTGTTTTATAAAATATAATATCTTATATTTATATCATTTTCTACATAATAGTAATACTGTATTTAAATGATATATATACATAATATATATATATAAAAAATATTTTTTTTCATGAAAAACATATTGCAATTTTAAAGTTTAATCTTTTTTTTCATAAAAAAACTAGACTAGTAACAAATATAAATATTTTTATTTTTTAGGCTTAAAAAACTATTTCATTTGATAGAAAGTTTTCAATTTTTATGGTATTATTATTATTATTATTAAATAAAAAAAATTTAAGTATAGAAAAATACATAGTAATGCATTGATAATGCAAACAAAAAATTTCTAATACTTATTATACAAAATAATATATTTTTATTGTATTTCTATCGATTGATTATTCAAATAGTTATTCAATGCACGTAATATCAGTGTTTTATTTTATTATTATATTGTATATTATTGATCATAATTGATAGATGAGTTTTATCAATAACAAAAAATTATATATATATATTTTTATATAATAAATTAAGATTAATTGTCAATAATAAAAACAAATCAATTCATTTAATATGTAATTATTTTTTTGTTTGTTTATACCGTATATAAAAATGACAGCTTATTATTGAATATTATTAAAAAAAACATTTAGTAACTGTAAATGTTATGTTAAAATAGTATAAAATATATGTTTTTTATTTTCATTATATAATTAAATTTTTCGCATATAATGTATTTTTAATCTCAATTTTAGTTGAAAAAACTAAATTATGCAAATATATTATCAAAAAAACAAACATTTTGTCATAAATTATTTTAACACTCACTTTCAATATATTTATTGTCTTATTATAATAATTTTTTATAATATTTTATATAAGAATATAAATATTTTACAAAAAAAACAAAATATAATATATTCAATAATTTTAAATTCAAGTTATTTTTTACTATTTTATTTATACTAAAAACAAAAAATATTGCATAAATTTTAAGTAAATTTTATTTTTTATTTATGTTTTACTTTACTAATTATTATATATCACTTTAAATAATAAACTTAAAAATATAAAAGTTTTTATTTTATGGTACAAACAATTTTATTTTTTTAATAATATAATGGATATCTGACAATAATATAATTATATTTTTTTATTATATAAGCAAAAATTTACACATAAATAGAGTAAATAATTTAAATTTTTATTGTAACCAAATTTTTTAAAAAAATACTATAATCTAATATAAATAAATTATTTTTGAAAACATTAAGCTTTTAAGCATTACATTATAGACTTGAATTTATTTTATTAAATTTGAAAAAAATTAACTGATATATAAATATTGTTTATTATTTTACAAAATAATAATTTTATTTTTATTATTATTATTATTATTTATAAACTATGATAAATATATTTTTATATTTAATATATCACTTTATCTTTTAAATAAGATTATATATATATATATATATATTATAAAACCATTAAACAAAAATTATAGTATAATTTCAAACTTGAAATTTAATTTTTTTACAAACAAAAAAAACAATTTTTTTAATAATATTAAATATAACTTTTAAGATAATTTAAAATTTTCTACAACAACAACAACAACAGCAAACTTAAGCTTTTAAAAAATATTTTTTGCTTATATTTAATTATATTTTTTTTCATAAAAAAAGATTAAATTTAAAAAAAAATGTAAATTTGCATAAAACTCAACATTGCACTTTTATAATACATTATTTAGTTAAGTTATACGTAAACACACACTATTTTTTATTAAGTGCCATAAAAATGTGTACTAAATTATTCTAATATTTATTTATTTTTATATAATATGTATTTACGGGACTGTTCACATATTACGTTTGCACTTTTTTTAAGAAATCTAGACCCCTCCCTCCCTCACCTGTGTTCACAATTGTTTGCATGTAATAATTTTTAACAATTAATACTTTCATATGTCCCTAACCGCTAACCCCCTTCCCCCACCACCACTAAAATATCTAAATCCGAACTTTCTTAAGATCTCTACCCCTCCCCTCCCATTGTTTGCACAAGTTTCCTTTGGCCGCCCCCTCCCCCTCAAGTGCGAACGTAATATGTGAATCACCCCTTATATAAAATTAAAATATATACCAAAACGTCTAATACTTTTACTACTACTACTACTTTCATGTCATCTAATATTTAATGTTTTTTAATATCATTGATAAAAGTGTTGTGCAATAAAACTCACAATTTTTTTTGACCGGAAATAATAAAGCTATCGTTTTTTACTTTTTAAAAACAATACAACAATAAAAATAAATAAATAATTTAATTTAATAATATTCTTATATATATATATATATATATATATATATATATATATATATATATATCAAAAAAATGTAATAATCATTAAAATAGCACTTGAATAGCAAATAACAGTAAATCCTAATATATAATTATTTATCTAAATATTATAGTAAATTTTGTTTTGTATCTTAAACTGTTGTATATTAATACCCTGTATAGACATATATATACTTAAGATATATTAAATAATAATCAATGGATTTAATTAGTATTATAACTATATAAATACAGTATATACTGTATATAAGTATTATCGTATTCAATAGGATTAAATGATAATTAATTACAGTGTATATAATATATTGTATATATATATACAGTATTTAGTACTGTAGTTGAATACAACAAAATAGTTTAGTTATTTTTATGTTTTTATTAATCATAATTTATATTTTCTTTTTTGTATTCACTAATAATTTTTCAGACAAAACAGTATCTTGTTTTTGTTTAATATATATATATATATATATATACAGTATATATCTTTAATAAACAGATTTTGTTGTAAATAATATAATTTATTAACTAAACTATAATATCATATATGATATTATCAACTAATATAAAACTAGTGATTTTTATTAAAAAGCTAAGTGTCATATAAATATGATTATATCATATGTATTATAATATTTTTGTAAATAATTATTATTCCCAAAAAAACTATGATAAACAATTAAATTTGTTTAAACTGTAAATATACTGTATCATCAATTATATATTGTATAAATTTTATTTATTTTTATTTTTTTTAAGTGCCATAGAAAACTTTAGAAATAATTAATAATAATAATAATAATATAAACAATAATTAGAAATCTATTCTAGGTGAAAAAAAATTAAATCGCTATTGATTTAAAAGATTACATTATCTATTGTATACAGACAACAAACATAAGTATATATATTGTAAGGACGGGATCGCTGGACAGATGAGTGTGGGAGTCAATGAACTCAAGATTAAAATTATATGAAGACTTAGTTTATTAATTGAAGTTAAAAGACAAATCTTGGATAACTAGGACTCTAAGCTCTATCTCTTAGACCCTAGTGTTGTGTGTAAGCGAGGGTTTAGTAAACGCTATACAAGAGGAGACTACCCGAGCCAGAGCTTGGGTCCCATGTTATATACTACAGTGTGTGTTGGTGTATGTGATAGAATGTATAAAAGAGTGAACCAATAAAGTGCAGTGGAAGGTACCAGAAATAATGTTACATTCCCTCCCAACTACGGTAAAAAACTTGTACCCAGGCTTAAACAAAACTATGTGTGTGTATCATATAATTAAAACAATTAGTTAAGTATGTGCGTATATTTTAATCAAAACAATTAGTTAAGTATGTGTGAGTGTATAGTTTAATTTAATTTTTATCTAATAATCTAAATCTAATTTAATATTTTTTTAAATATTTTTTGCAGGGTATTGGTTTGTTGTGTTGCCTGTATGTGTTTGTTGTAGCTAGGTTATATTGTAATTTTTATTTTTTAAATTAACTATTTCCATTAATTTGATTTTTTTAATGTGTTTATGTGTCACGTGACCCCAGCATTTTAATTTAAATTTGCTTTGTGTGCTGTCTGTGTGTAAACGGTAGGTGTTTTTATAATTTATAAATTACAATATTTTGTTAATAATTTTTTATTTTGCCAGCAATTATGGCCTCAAAAAACAGTTCGGGTTAAACGGTGGCCGGTATATCCGGTAGCATTGAGAGCGCTGCGATTGGCGGCGCTATAATCGGCAATAGTTACGGCAGTAATGGTGGGAGTATTGGCGCCGTTAGTGGTCGAGCTAGTGGTGGCTGTATTGACGGCGGTAGTGGTGTTTGTAGTTTTGCCGGTAGTGGTGGTTGTTGTATCAGCGGTAATGGTATTTGTAGTGTTAGCGGTAGTGGTGGTTGTAGTGTCGGAGGTAGTGGTGAATGTAATGATGAAGCTAATGACGGCGGTAGGGATAGAGCTAGTGACGGCGGTAATGGTAGAGGTGGTTGCGGCGGTAGTGATAATTTAGCCGAATTGGCGCCATTATTTTAAATATATTTTTTTAATTTAGGTAGTGACTTTGAAAGTAGAGATGTTAGCGGCCGTGGCACTGGTTGTAGCAGCTGTAAAGTCGGTAGTAGTGTAAGTATTGGTATTTATAGTGGTGTCAGCGGTGGTGTCGGTAGTGGTTGCGATAGAAATGGCGGTACTTATGTCGTTGTTGGTAGTGGTAATGTTGAGGTTGTCGACAATATTTCGAAGCCAATCACGTATGTTAACTGGCCGTGTTGACAGTAAAGGCGGGGACCGGTTTTATGCCAATAAATCTGGTAAATATATGCCTATTTGGGTCTTAGTGTCTGCCCAGTGCAGCGGTGCCAGTGCTGACAATGACAACAATGATGATTTGGATGGTCGACATTCTGAATCGATCTTGTGATCTTGGGTCCCACGTTATATACTATAGTGTGTGTGTGTATGTGAGTTATACAATGTATAAATGAGGGGACCAATAAGGTGCACTGGAATGTACCAGAAATGGTGTTACAATATATACTGTATATATATATTAAGTTAAATACTAGCGATTGGCTAATAGAAATTTCAAATAAATTTTCCTGATAAAGTTTATCAAAACAAGTAATTTTCTATAGAAATTGTTTTACTATATTATTGATGTAATGGGATCTCCATATACACTACATAGCTATTGTAATACTATATTACTAATAAATAATTTACAAAATATTATTATACTAAATGAGATTATTATAGTTAAAATTAATTATAAATAATGTTATTATAATTAGTTGAAAAAAATTTATTCATAATATTATTTATTTATTTATTAAATATTATAATTCTGTTATTTTTCATATTAATTAAAATATTTATAATAATATTTAGTAAAGGTTAATTATAATTATAATACACTTCAACAATATAACAAAAATTGACAAAAAAAACATAATTAAATTCACAGAAATTTCTATTATAAACTTTCTATAAATTTCTTAATTAATTATTTATTGCTAACACTAATAATTTTATGAATCAAATAGAAATAATATAATTAAATGTATTTTATGAAATAAAAATAACATAAATAGTAAATTATAAATTTATTAAACATACGTTAATCATTAGTATATTTTTAAAAAATTATAAATATCATAAATAATTTATATATATATATATAACTAATATTTATTTTGTGCAATAAAAACTTATTGAAACAGTTTTTTTTAAAATTAATAATTAATCTATAATTTATTATTAATTGCAATCAAATCAAACAACAAATTGATGCAATAAAAAAAATTGTTGAATTAATTTTCAAAAAGTTTAGAAATTAAAGTTCAATTAAATTAAAAATAAGCACTTAATAGATAAATAATTTATATTTCAAAACAACAACAAAATTGTAATAAATTATACATAAATTAGTTTTTTTTAGATCTCAGTATTAATGTTGATGTTTAATGTCCAATAATAGCCAATATAATGTCAAAGTTTAAAACAACAAAAAATATTATTTATTTATTTTTTTAAAATTGTTTTTTTTATATTACAATAACATTAGAGTAACAGGTTTTTTCCTCAGTTGTTTGTACAGTACATACATTGACTTAATTGACATAACAAATGAATATATATATATATATATTATGTATGTAAGTGAAAGTCTGATGAATATAAATGTATTTTACTTTATACTAAATATATCTAATATATATCTAATATATATATATATATACAGTATATGCAGAATTAAATAGAAAAAATCAATTTAAGAAACCTTTTAACAAATTAAATATATATTTTTTCTCTCTAATGTCTCAAATGTTTTTCATATATCAATATATTATTCTAGATATATATATATATATATATATATAAATACTTGTTTTTTTATACTTTTATTATTGTTGTTGAT